TTTAAATGGGCAGGGGTCACAGACACACCAACAGCAGGAGGCAGCAAACTGCCTAGTCTGCAAACTACTTCTTCAAACGAGTGGAAATGAGAGGGGGATAATTTAATGAGAGAGAGGGAGAAGTTGAGCAAGGGTGGGGGAACCAGACGAAATGGGAGGGGGTTTGCAGCACGCACAAGAGGGAGGGAAAGAGGGGGTACGCAGAGAATGAGGCTACAGAGAGACAGAAAGACAGAGCGAGTCGGCAAACGGTGACCATAACCACTGTTTGTTTGAGAAAACAACTCCCCTGAACTTTCGGAGGTGGTGGAGCGGAACAAGATGAAGGAGCTCTGCGTACACACCTCCTCATCTTCCTCTGCGTCTTCCGGAGGTTCTGCATGTCAGTGCCCCTTACGATCAAGCCACTCTGGGACACTTGGACCGCCACGCATGGTGTCTGGAGGATCAAGTATGGACATGGATCCTCTCAGACCTGATTACATGTCCATGTGTCTCTTGGCAGATGAGTCCTACCAGAAGCTGGCTATGGAAACCATGGAGGAGCTGGACTGGTGTCTGGACCAGTTGGAGACCATCCAGACCTACCGGTCTGTCAGTGACATGGCCTCCAACAAGGTATGACAATCTGGGCCATATGTTAATATATGTAAATGTGTGTATTTATCGATTACCGTGGTTTTATAAAAAGCTATTAGCCTGTCCTCCTGGATGAAATACCTGAAAACACTACAAACATTCACAATTTTGATAATTAACTTCAGGGGTAAAAAAAACTATTTGGGTATTTGATCATGGGCACAGTAGGTTATTAAGATGATTTTATCAAGTCACAAAATAACCATTAGTTCATTAGTGTGAAAAGCTATCATGCACATAGTGCTGTGCTTTCATCTCGAATCATATTGCACAGCAAACTCTTGCATGCTTCCTTTTTCCAACATCTCTTTTTACCCACTGAAATAACAATCATTAGAGTGTGCAAAACCATAATTAAAAAAGATTTAAGTTAAACATTATAATTGTAACCTATATCTCATAGTATGCAATGCAAAATTATAATTATTACCATCACGGTACATATTCTGCAACGTGCTCACTGAAGGCATGATACTTGTGATGATGGCTTGACTGGCCTGTGATGACCTGCCAGCCTGCATATATGTGTGTATAATTGCTCTTTGTTTCTGTGTGGTTGTGCATTTGCACAGTCTACGGAAAATGTAAAATACTTTTAGCCACATTGACGCATTTGCAAAGCAACAGCTGTTCTGTGGTAGCATATCAGCACGCATCATCGTTTTATAGATCTCTTGATAAAAGAGGAGAAAAGTTAATGTTTGCTTCGCTGCATAACAACTTTAGCGAACTACCTGTTGCATCTGAGCACCATTATTGCCTGAATTCCAGGGAAAGGGCTGTCCTGCTTGTATATCCTTACCTTAATCAAACTGCCCGAGACACACAGCTGGTGATACTACTAGGTTGGGCTGATTAAAACATTACCCAGATGCATTTTTCATTCATTTTAGTGCTGTGTTGATATTGGCTCGTTTCTAAGGTGTAGCTCTGTGTGAGTTCATTTAGCAGGACCCTTATTGCTTAAGGCTGGTTTGAAAGTACTGAACTTATTCTTCTGCTTGCTGCGGAAGAGGCAAAACCAGATCTGCTATATAACATAGAATAATGCCAGGATAATTTTATAACTGCATCTTCTTTACAAGGGGCCAAACCATTTAGTTTAGCGTGTTTAAAAGCTGGTTAAAGCGCCTGGAAAGCTACTAAATGGTAAAACTCAGTTTATAGTTAATATAACTGCCCAAAAAATGTAACCAAAGGGTGAAAAAATGTCTGTTCTCATCGGTGGTCTTAGCAGCGTGTTGTTTTAAGCATTTAAAAGTGCCAGTCTTCCAGTTTGGTTTTACTGAATTTAAACACACTGTGGTTTTTAAACCAGCATTTTTGAACTAATTACTTCCCTTTGCTTTGATGCACATGAGCCTGCTTTTTTCTTTGTGCGTATTTCACTTCAAAATTTACTGTATGCGGCACATTATTGCTCAGACAGCGGAGACTGTACGGCGACATCAAATTATAAACACCCAGGGTGGTGGTGTCCATTTCCGTCTGTGCTCTAAGCTTTGGTCTGAGGGAGGATTGGGATGGGGAGGGGGTGTTGTCAGACCATGATGGGTGACTCTGACCGTGACACCAGCTTCCTGTCTCTGTATTTCCTGTGCCTCCTCTCCTCTGCTCACTTGTTACTCGATGACAATAGGGGTTGAGTCCTAACAGACAGCTACATCCCCAGGACTGTCAAGACAATGAGAAAAGGCCCTCTAGGCTTGTAGCAGCGTAGCAACTTGTTCAGGCAAACCAGGTACAGATTCCTAACAACACGAGCCAGTGCCATTGTTGACCAGTGCTGATCTTTTAAAAGTGTACTGGGCAACAGTTTTATGATGTTACAGTTAAGTTTCAACAGTGTCCTACATTGTTGTGCAATTGTACAGGGATAGAAAGAAGCTGTTTATTGGTCCATCGAGCTCTTGTTGCAAAATTGGGAGTCAAGTCCAGTGATACTGTTACACCATCGGCCCAGTTTTTGTGGGCGTTTGACGCAAGTTTTGACAAAGAGTCAGGTTTTCTTCTTTTCTTCACCACTAGATGTAATTGAAGCCACAATCAAACCCGGGGTGTCTCCGTTTTCAGTTTCCAAGGGCACAGGTGTATCCGGGGCTACAAGACCACACACTCTGCTGACCGCCAGCCTGGTTGCTGTGACCTCAGAGCGGGGAGCTACTTCCCTGCCCCTCACTATCATTAACCTCGCCACACTTCCACGCCGATGCCGGTGACGGCCTTGGACAAACACTGCCATCTGAATGCAGTTAAAGGAGTTTAGTGCTTTTGCGGGTAGCGTGCAGGCAAGCCCCTCGAGGAGAACACAAGCGAGTAGGAAACTTTAACTCACGTGTGGTCACTTCAGCTTTGAAGCACCCGCCGTCTTCACTGGGGAAAGAATGACAAAATTATTGAAACAGATGCAGCGGTGGGTCTGTAGCTGTACCAGGCGTAATGGACATTAAATTATAGTGCTGCGCTTCCATTTGACTGAAAGGGTGGTGAGGAGATCACACGAGCTCCAGCGGTGATTATGGTGCTTAATCGTAATTTTTTTTAAAAAAAAGTTTTACCTCTGTAATCTTCTGTTTTTCATCTGATCTTCATCTTGGAAAATAAGACAGCACAAGGAGTGCGAATGGAAAACATGTTTCTACTGTAACTCCGTTGTTACCTGTTTCTGATCAACGCCTTCGAGGAAATGTGTTGTCCTTGTGTTACTAAACAGTGTAAATTTGATGTACATCATTCATCTTGTGTTGACACTCGAAACAGCCGCATGCATGCGACAGAGGCGGCGTGTGCTCACTCTGGGGTTTGTTCGATTGCAGTGCAATGGTGTTGCATTATGAGGTCACATTGTTCCTGAGAAATCCCATTTCTTTACGTATTATGTTTTTCCTTTTTCTTTATTTCTCTTGTCAGTTAATATAGCAGGAACTTTAGCGTGACCCCTAAACTTGTTATCTGGGACTTTTCTGTGATGAGCTCAGGTATGTTAGTAGTTTGGTGCCTGAGGCTACAGGAAGAAGGATGTCTGCCAGTAAATGATCTCAGGGAATTACTATAGCAAAAGAAAAGGGAAGTAGGTGGAGACACACGCTCAGGCCTGTATGGGAGGGAGGAGCCATCAATCTCCTGTTAGACTTTGTAGGCCAGTCAGTTAAGTCAGCTTTATTGCTATAAGTTTCCTGCCTGACGCCAGTTGAGAAAAGAGAATAGAGAGAGGAAGACGGCTGGTTCACAGACACGCTGAGACGAGTTAAAGTACTTGGACCTTTACAGGATTTCTTTGTGCTGTGTTTGTTTTTTCGTTGAGTGACAATGGGACTATGCTGCTCTGAAAAGCAGAAGATAAACTTTGAGATGCTTGCGAGTTGGAAAAAGGTGAGTTAGCTTTATAGAGGCTTACTTTGTGTTGTAGGAGTGTAGCGTGCCATGTGGAGATGGTGTTTTATTCAAGAATAAATTGCTGGATTTGAAGTGACATCTAGTTTTAAAAAAATAAAATAAATTTGCTCCTCAGTAATTACACTCAAAATGTTCCTGAATTGTTTTTTTCCTTCTATGATTGCATATTTGAAAATATGTTGGTCTTTACTTTTTGTAGCATGTTGTTTCAATAGCTTTTTGTTTTTTTTGCGACACAGTTATATTATGCATTAAATATTTAAACTTTATTAAACAACGGCTCCTGATTGTGTGAGAGCAAATTGCTTTTTTGTCAGAGTTTGCGCAACTTCTCTAAGTTTCCCCAGCTTGTTCTGAAACTGAGAATCATTTGCTAACGTAAAAGGATGTATGAGTTAACGCCATGCATTGAGTAATCTGGGTTACGGAGAACACTTGCAGCCTTGTCATCATGCCGTGTCTGTGTATGATGTGTTTCAGCTGAACTACACAACCCCGGGTGACTGACATACAGCTGTGTGCCTAATTCACTTCCTAGAGGTCACTCAAATCCACACTGTGCTGCATTAAAGAATCAATTACAAGCTCTCTTTGAGCAAACTAAAGCCAACTGATTCCAGCTTCTTTGATCTTTCTGGGTTTTTAGTGCAGCCGATGCTTTGAAAGTGGTATTCAAGTTCCACAGTCAACTAGATGTTAGCTGTCTGGTTGACAGCTATTAGACAGCTGTTGAGATCAGAGAGTCTGGTTCAGTATGAAGCAAAAAGAACTCATTATAAGAGAGAATATAAAATCGGGCAGAAACCACAATGACAGGTTTTCTATTTTCTTTCCGGTGTTAGAATACAGAGTTATAAAAAAAGGAAAACCCAATTACTTTCTATGGAAATGGCCTTTATTGCACACACCATTACTACATAGTTTTCATAATCAAGTTTGGGGTGTGATGTTTGCATATGCTTATTCAAATCGAAAAGAACATTTTGCATGAGAGATAAAAATCGATCTCCTTTTGCACACAAGCTATGGTTTTTTTAAAAAATGCCTATCTGGAGCGTCGCTGCTGCAGTTTCTGTGATAGGTTTGTTTATGTTTACGATGCAGTGCTGTGTTTTTAAAGTAGGGACCACCATAAGAACAGTGAACGGACCATGTGATTCTGTTGCCATGGCATTCGGGTTGCCATGCAGATGGTGGTACACCGATGGCAGACTGAAAACTGTCGTCTGCTTGATACAGCAAAACATCACGATTATGGACTGAACTATTTGCACATCCCCATTTTCTGTTTTTAAAATATGTTTAGTTCTGTGTCTGAGTTTGTGTCTGTGTCCCATCATCCATGCGATAAACGCTCTGGTGCTTTGAAGTCTCACGTTGCGCAGTATGCTTTGCATCTGTTCTGCATTACTGTGCAGGGGGAGCATTTTAAGTAGAGAAGGGAGACAGCAGTGGGAGGGGGGTTTCACAGAACACAGGAGTGAGAGAGAAATAGCTAGAAATAGGGAGGAAGATGTGGGGGATCCTCCAAGCTCTCATTTTCTGCAGTGCTGTGCATGAGCATCAGTTTTTAGCGAGGGTGGGAGGCAAAGAGAGAGACAGAGAGAGTGAGAGAGAGGCTCCAGCAATTTGTGCCACAGGGAACTCTACAGCTATAGCGCACCCCCATCTACTCCTCCTCCTCTCTGCCTTTTTCAGTCCCTCTCTTTCTTTCCTCCTTCTGCCGTGAAGACTGCCTTTTTTTCCTGACTTGCCAAATCTGGGCTTGGAAAGGCTGGATTTTCTCCTGTATGATTTTTGGATGGTGGCAGAAGGAGATGGAGGTTTGAAGAAAGGGACAGAGGCAGCGACAGCCAGAGGAAAGGAAATATTGATCACATCCAGGGGGATTCCATCACTCACGACAGTGGCTCGCGATCCTTGATAACAATGGAGGAAGCTAGGAGGAGGCGCGTTTGGCTGGGAATGTAGGGCTCCGCCACAGCCCCTCTCCAGAGACTTCGGCTGGGGCGTTTTTACCGTAGTCAGCCGTTGCAAGGCGGTGATTTGGTGACGCCTTGAGCTTCAGGCTGTAGGGCTGAGCTAAGCCTTGGGGGTCCACTCAGAGAGGAGCACTTACTGCTTCTGCTGGGGGGCTCAGCACTGCTCAGCACCATGCCTGAGGCCAACTACCTATTCTCTGTGTCCTGGGGATACATTAAGGTGTGTCCCAGAGGAGGTTTTCCATTAATGGGACTGTTTCTGTGCATATTCTACATCCATGTCTGTTTTCTGTTGCTGGTGAAGAGCCCAATTTCTCTTTGAATGCATTACGACATGTTTTTAATCTTGCTCAGTGGTTGCATGTGTTGAGAAAACAGGCATCTTTTGCTTATCTGTAAAATTTGCATAAAGGAAATATAAACTATGCACAGCACGCATCGTATATGCTGTGTTGAAACACGAAGCAGTCTGGATAAGGAGACTGGGGAAGAATACACAAACCTAATATGGCTCATTAAATCCAGAGAACATGGTCCCATGGGACATGTTCCAGTGGAAAATAACAGGAAAGGGTTTATTCCGCTGCTTAGAAACAGCAGTCAGACTCATTTGCTGGATGTGTTTCTGCGTATAAATCACATTACCTCCTTAACATTTTATCTCTTTGCTTCCAGTTCAAGAGGATGCTGAACCGGGAGCTAAGCCACCTGTCTGAGATGAGCCGATCAGGCAACCAAGTGTCAGAGTACATCTCCAGCACCTTCCTAGGTGAGCACTGCAGCACATGTTTACCACACACCTCCTGAAGTATACATTGCGCCATTGCAAAATGTGCTGTATGTATGACTTCAGTGAGCCAGCATCCTTCAGGAATGTCACAGAGGTTGCGAGGTTACCCAAAGCATGTGCCAAGCAGTGGGGAAACTCACAGTTCCTCTGCAACGCTGTTCTTAAACCAGTCTGATCTGGTCTGGAAGGGAGACAGGGTCCCCTCGCTCCGACTGCAGAGATATGTGAAGGGAGGAGGGAGGGCTTTGTACTCAGGGAAGACTTCCCTCTGGAGAGATTAGGAGCAGTGAGTCGGAGAGAGAGAGGGTGTTTGTGTGCTTACAGTGCCATCAGGTTCAGAGAGATGCTGCATTATTCATCAGTGGGACAGCAGTGGTTGCTTGTCTTTAAAAAAAAAAAGCCTGGCGGCATTTCGTGTCTAATGGCTTGCCAGCCCTGCAAACCACTCTGCCCCTCAGGTTTTTCTACCCTCCCATCTAGCTCACCACCAGCATACATACAGCCAGACTCCCAGCTTATAAGGGCTCACTGCAGACTAATGTTGTGGCTCTTGTTAGTGAACACGTGTCTATTTTCCTGCTTCGGATCAGCAAAACATAAAAAATGACAGAAAAAAGACAAGATGCTGGATGCATGGTGGAAAGAGGAAAAGAAAAAGCTACCTCTTGTGCTAACAATAGAAGTGGCGCAGTGATAGAGACAAACATGAAAGCTCAGCTCAGTTTATCTTTGAAGCTTTGCGGTTTTATCTGCATTGCAGCTAGCACCTGTCAGGTGTAGGGAGATGATTTTCCTGTGCTTTGTGGAGGACGCAGCTGAGATGTTGTTTTTTTTCTCGCTCTGCGGCTGTGCGTGCAGTGCACACGTACAGACCGAGGGAGTCTCACGCTCACACACAGTGAGAAATGTCACTCAGCTAATACATGAGTCACATGCACCGACTGAACCCAACTTCCAAGTCCCTCCTCTAAACATTTCGGCTTAATGTGAACCATCTTTCCATGATTCTCTGAATTGTTACCAACACATGGCTCAGATTCACAGAATGCCTGGAATACTGCCATGTTTCTCTGATCATCATAACAACTCATTAGCACAGCCTGAGCCTTTGTCTCATAAAACATTTGCATCTCATCAGTGTATTCAGCTATTTTACTCATTTATTTTTTTTGCCTTTCCTGCTTTTGTTTCTAGTGCATTTTTATTGCAGAAGGCAGGCATTGAGGGATTGATTGCTAATTTAATAGCAGCCAGTGCAGCTTTTTCGTCTTGAAAACCACCTTTTTTAATGTTAGTTCTATTTCTCCAGACAAGCAGAATGAGTTGGAGCTTCCGTGTCCAGTTCCAAAGGCGAGGGAAAGGAAGAGGAGGCAGGGCCAGCAGCAGCAGCAACAGCAGCAGCAACACGGTGGGATGATGACACAGATCAGTGGGGTGAGAAAAGTCAGCCATACATCAAGTATCTCGGGAGGTGCTGGAAATCGCTTTGGGGTCAAGACGGACCAGGAGGAATTGTTGTCAAAGGTAAGTGACAGACAGACTGGAGAAACTTAAACTTGCGTGATATCTGGTGTCTCACGTGCTCAAACACTTAAATTTGTGTCCACTCTAACAGGACCTGGAACACATCAACAGATGGGGCCTGAATATTTTCAAAGTGGCTGAGCATTCTCACAATCGACCTCTCACATGCGTCATGTACACCATCTTCCAGGTTTGTTTTCCGCCTCAGCTTCCATCCTTTAATCGGGAAAGAGCCAGTTGAGAAAACTGTGAAGCCATTCAAACAAACACACACACAAGTCGTCTCAGTGTGTACATCATGCTCTGTTAGCTAGCTCCAGACTGTAATCAGTTTGGGCGCACATGTTTTGTTTTGTTTTTTTTCACTTGGTCTAGAAAAATGCTGCACCCCTTTCTTTCGAGGCCAAAAGATAACTTAAAATGTATTACTGCTGCAGCAGATACTGTCAGTGCACCTGTTAGTCTGGAGCCCTGCCTAGTTTATGACTACCCAACCGATGACTCAGAATTGAACTGTGGCTAGATGGATAGACCGTAGAGAAAATAATATCCTGTAGCACGTTTAGCCAGGAGTCTTGTTTTTCTAATCCACACTGTCACACGCAGGAGCGAGACCTGATGAGGACGTTCAAGATTCCAACGGACACCTTTGTGACGTTCATGCTGACCCTAGAGAGCCACTATCACTCCGACGTGGCGTACCACAACAACCTCCACGCTGCCGACGTAGCCCAGTCCACACACATCCTCCTGTCCACCCCTGCATTAGATGTAAGTCGTGTGAAATCTGTCTTACCTCACTCGCTTTCAGTACGTCTAAGTGTTCAGAGTTTGCCCTTTAAAACGTGACACGGTTAAAGCGTGTCGCCACCGGCCACACCTTTTACTTGAACTGTTTATATTGTTGTGATGAATAGCAACAATAGAAAGAGCATACCACAGATGGTGACACATGGAAGGATTGGTTTTTCAAACTAATACCTTGCCTTGTATGGTAAGTAAATTTATTTTTGCTTTACTTCCTTCTCTTCAAACACAGGCGGTCTTCACTGACCTGGAGATCTTGGCAGCCATTTTTGCAGCAGCCATTCACGACGTGGACCACCCAGGAGTCTCCAACCAATTCCTAATCAATACAAGTAGGTCCACCTTTTCATTCAACATCCATCAAAAAAGTCAGCTAGAGTTATTTATTTGGTCTACATTTTGAAAAAAGGGAGAAATATTTGCTTGATTTGATGTTTAATTTCCTTTTCTTGTCCTCTTTTGCATTTAGACTCTGAGCTGGCTCTGATGTACAACGATGAGTCAGTGCTGGAAAATCACCACCTGGCCGTGGGCTTCAAACTGCTGCAGGAAGAAAATTGCGACATCTTCCAAAACCTCTCCAAGAAGCAGAGGCAGACGCTCCGGAGGATGGTCATAGAAATGGTGAGGAAATGTCTGCACATCTGTCTCAGGCAGCAGCCCCGTCTCAGGATCTGAGCAGTTTTCACAGTTTTTCTTAAATTGATAGTTTTTCATGTCTTGCCGTCTTCCAGGTTTTGGCAACCGACATGTCTAAACACATGAGTCTGCTGGCGGATTTGAAAACGATGGTGGAAACCAAGAAGGTCACCAGCTCTGGTGTCCTGATGCTAGACAACTACACAGACAGGATGCAGGTAAGAGGCAGACTAGTATGCACATTAGACGCAAACACTTTTCTATTTACCACAGAGGGAGGAAAAGAAAAAAAACATACTAAACTGTGATATTTTTTTTTCCCTGCAGGTTCTCCGTAACATGGTTCATTGTGCAGACCTGAGCAACCCCACCAAACCTCTGGATCTGTACCGGCAGTGGACTGACAGAATCATGGATGAGTTCTTCCACCAGGGAGACAGAGAGAGGGAGAGGGGGATGGAAATCAGCCCAATGTGTGACAAACACACAGCTTCAGTAGAGAGGACTCAGGTAGAGAACACAGGCATCCAGCTCTCAAAATAAAACCTGAAAACTGTGGTTATTTTTCATATTTACTGACATCTTCTCTGTTTATCTTTTCTAGGTTAGCTTCATTGATTACATAGTGCATCCTCTGTGGGAGACGTGGGCTGACCTGGTCCATCCCGATGCCCAAGACATCCTGGATACACTAGAGGACAACAGGAACTGGTACCAAAGCATGATCCCCCAGAGCCCCTCACCTCCTTTCTACACCAGTGATGGAGAAGGAGGACCTCACGGGGAGGTGGAAGGGCGGCCTGTAGAGAGTAAATTCAAGTTCGATCTAACGCTGGATGACCAGGAAGGACAAGGTGAAGACAGTGGAATGATGGACACGGCTGACAGTTGTGACAATGTGACATTACAGCATCTTCCCTGTGATCAGGAAGGGGCAGAAATGACAACACATGACGGCTCCCCGGAGGAAACATAGCTTAACCGGTGGTGTTCTTGGAGCGTAGCACGTTTTTGGTGAATTCATTTTATTGCAGTGGAGCAATCCTGCAATTTGGCTCTGGCGGGAGCTGCTTGGCAAAGAGGGCCTGACTGAATGTGGGGCACCCCTGCGAATGAGGCTTGGAAACCCTGCGGTAGTTTGTCTTTGAGACCCCCTGGAAGGGAGCTGGAAGAGTGTAGGCTCTGTTCTTTACAGAAGGGACTACTGTTGGACTGCAGAGCCTAACCTGGGTTCTTTCAGGCAGAGAATGTGAAGTGGACGTATGAATCCGTGGACTGGGACAAGTCTAAATTTCAAACTTGCACTTCAGGACATTTTTTTTAAATGTTCATTTAGATTCTTTGTATCGTGTCGAGATTGGATACGACCCTATATTGTCCAACCACAGCTACTGGTCAGCAAGTTATTTCTAACCCAGTAGTGTTTTTTTAACACTTGTCTAAAAAGAGTAGCGTGCCTTTTTTTACAAGTGTGTGTTTTTGTAAGTTGTTTTTTTTTAAATAATTTATTGAACACATTCATGTAGCTGTGTGTCAGATTTTCTACAAAACGGACATAGCTGTCTCACACAGTCTTCCTCATGTTCTGGCAATAGTATAAGCTTGTTCTTCACTAATGGATGTATATTATAAAAAAATCAGCTGACTTCCCAGCACACTTTGCACTTTGTGGCACACACAGTTAAACCAAGACAAAGACAGCATCTGTAACTTAAAGGAGAGACCATAGCAAGCATGTCAAACCAAATAATTTGATTTGATTTATCCAAATAAGTAACTGCGTAAGCAATTAAATGACTCATAGGCTAGATTTCGTAAAAGAGTAAAAAACCTTTCTTTGTTTTTTTGTAGAACAGAAACCAAAACTCCAAAGATCCTGTAAGGAAAGCACTTTGTTGGATTCACAGCCACCCCTCAAAAGAATGATCGCATTTCCAAAGAGTAAATGGTGTGACAAGTCAAACTTCCGAGCGGCGGCAGGATTGATTCCCTCTCACTTAAAGCCAGTTACAGACTAAATTCTCACTACAATCTTCCAAGATTAAAGTGGAAAAGAAAATATTTCATAACCCAGTTGCGTTTAAGCCCCATCCCGTGTGGAAAAACCGTCTCCGCCCTGTAATTCCCCTTTTCATTGCCTCACACAACACACCTGTTGTGGTTAGCAGTATTCTCATGAATAGGCTGACTCATTTTGAACTTTGAATGACTTCAAGGCTGAACGCGCAGTTTCAGAAACACCTGTCAGTAATGGAATAATTGAATCTTGTAGTTTTTCATTGCAGCACTTTGAATACGTCGACAGTTATGCAGCTGTTTGCTGATCTGTCCAAACACTTCCTTAGAGGTACCACGTTGTATGGTCATAATACGGGGAGATCGGTTTCATGTTTCACGATATGTCATTCTTCTCCTGTGCGTGTGTGTGTGTGTCTGTGTGTGTGTGTGTGTGTGTGTGTGTGCGTGTGAGGATGCGAGAGTGTATTTAAGTGGTCACAGAGTTGCACAGTCGTGTTGCACCCAACTGTGTTGTGCTGACCCTTAAGCTGTTTGTAACAGTGTATTTATTACATTTTCTTGTATATGTTAATACTGAATTGATAATATTCGCTGTATATTTGTTATTTATATGCACTACCACGTGTCAAATGACAGTTTGACTGAACTGCTTTGTTGGTTCATCCGTGTATAGCAAGGTATTTTGCTATGAGACCATAGCATAAAGTTATGCAGGTCAATTTTGACGATTTGAAAAGTATGTTTCGTTTGAAATCCCAGCCAGAAGTGTTTGTGCAGTGGAAGCCAGCAGCGCTTCATACGAGGCGCAGCAGAAGCTTTTTTAGTCCTTTTGTTCCTGGCGAAGGCTGGATATTTACTGCAGCATAATGTGTACGGTGACAGGTCATTGTACAGCTATAAGAATATTTGCTGAAATTTATACCATTGTTTCAAATGTATTTTTTCAGTGTTTTCTTCACAGTATACTGTAAAACGGTGTATGTTGTGCTCAGCAAATGTTTTCTATCAGATTATTAAAACGGGCATGTATAACAGACTCTTCTGGTCCGAATGTTATTGGATTACATCAGCGACGTTTGTTTCAGTGATGTTAAAAACCAGTTTGGAGACAGATTTAAGTTTCAATTTAAATGTTTTTATCTGTACACATTAAACTATTTAGAAATTGTCCTAAGATACATATTTGCACATTATGCAATTTAAGGTGTACATTCAGGAGAAAGTCTGTTAAAACTAGAAAAGTCCTGAAGAAACAGACGCTGCACATTATTTTCTCCCATTTTTAAGGCACAATCTGCAATTCCAAAAATGTAAAGTGTGAATAAAAGCACTGCAATGATTTACAAACCTCCTAAATCCATTCACAATAGAGCAAACTAAATTTGATGGCAGCAACAAATTTCAAGCAGTTCAGGGTGGTGCAACAACAGAGTAACTGTTGCTGTTAGCAACAGGTCAGTAACATGACTGGGTATAAAAAGAGCATGTTAGAGAGGCAGCGGTTGACCACTCTGCAAACAAAAACAAATCTTCTGCGCATATCCAGACGAGGTATTTAAAGTAAGACCTTGCACATTTCAGCAAGACATTGCTAAACCACATACCAGCACATATTAGAACAACATGGAGTCTGGCTGAACTACCAGCTGAAAACTGGTTAAAATACATGGAAAATACAACAAAGAAGCTAGAATCCTATATCAGACAAGAACAGGAAATTTATATCTCAAAAGTCCAGGAGCTGGTCTCCTTAGATCGCAGATGTATACGGACACAATTGTTGCCTTTTAAAAAAATGTTTAACAAAAATTAAATTAAGTAAATGTTGACAATGTATTTTTTAAGTTTTTTTCCATTGTGATTTTGGAAGACTGTAGAACCTTTATTTTCAATAATCTGATGTATGTAACACAGTGCTACCCAACCCTCAACAGGATTGGTTCCACTCTCATAGATTTCCAGGAAATATGAGTCAAGCAAAGCCACCAACTTTCAGCATAAATAGCGCTAACACGCTAATGTAGCTCTGTCTCAAGAAAGCCAAATCTATCTCCCCTAAAGCAGCTGGCTGGTTTAACTGATTGCAAAAAGTAACATTAATACAAAAAGCACCAAGTATTTTGTAAGAGATTTAATTTTTACCAGACATGACTCCACAAATGTCCACATGAAAAAAAGAGAAGAAAGAAAACTGATGCTGTGCAATTTCCTCTTCTTGATGGTGAAGATTTGTTGTTGCCATCAAATTTAAAATGACAAATTCTACATTTTGTGACTTACTATGAATAAAATCTGAGTTTAATAGATTTGCAAACCGTTGCATTCTGTTTTTATTCACATTTAAACAGTGTCCCAAGATTGTACAAAACTCTGCGCAGGAGTTCAAGACTGGTTTCATTAAACTGCAAACCACAAGTGTGCAATGTCAGGCCTTTCCCTGCCAATGATGACATATTCCAGAAATTTGTTGTTTTGAAATCATGCAATAGTGTTCAAAATCAAACATTAATAGAACAAAAAATGTTCTGTGAGTTTTTGAATGATTAGTGATTCATTCACTAAGAGGGGGAAGTGTTCTACAACATTATATACAGAAAGTTCAGCAATCGATGACAAAAGGAATAATGAAAGCATTTTGTCAAAGAAAAGTGAGAAAGCTTTCAAATCTAATGGCTTGAATGATTTTTATTTATCAGGTAATAACACTGTTAATGGAAAAACGTAGTCACTGTTAGCGTGACTACATTTTTCCTTAAAATAACACCCATGTATTATTATTGTGCACTGTTTTTTAAAGCACTCGGCAAAAAGAATGTTTCAACTTTCTTGAAAACTTCAATGGAAAATTATCTTATTATTCTTCTGTGGGTTTGGTTTCAGTGTCTTCTGTCACCTCATGAAATACCAGTCATACTGGAACCTGCCGGCAGTGGGGAAGCCATACCATTTCTTGATGTTGGTTGCCAAACATGACTTTTTGTGGAATATTTGGGTTGTTGACATGTGCTGAATATGGAACAAGTCAAACTTCTTTGTGACGGTATTACAGTCACCCAAAAAAAAAAAAAAAAAAGATAAAAAGATAAAAGGCAGCCAATTGTATTTCACTGAGCTATACTGAGTGCCACACTTTCTTTTTGGACTTACAAACATGATCTGGTGTGGAAATGATCTGAATCACACCAAATGTATGTTCAGAGGAAAACGCCAGAGGTGACAGAAGGAAAACAAACAACTGGATTCAGCCCTCAGTGATGTCACTTCCCAGCACTGACAACAGTGACTGCTCTTCCTGCTGATCTGAGGTCAGCATAGCTGGACATCAAGCCAGCAATGTAAACAGGAAAGGTAGAGATAGTGATGCTATGCGCTGCGCCCTCAGGGCATTCACTCTCCCATGGCTTTGAGCACCTTGACCCAAACAGATAAACATCTGAATACGTGATCAACAGGAGGAGAAACACGAAACGACGGCTCTGACAGTTTTCAGTTTGTGGGCAAACTCCACAAGACAAAGCAGCATAGACTTAACTAACGACATTCACTGATGTGATCTACTCATGATTCATGCTGAGAATAATCTCCTGACAATCTGCAATAATAATACTAACATTTATTTATTAAAACCCGACAGTGCCAGTCTGTCTCAGCTCCGTTCCTGACATGACTCTGCTTCCCCTAAAAATTCCGACAGTTACTTTATTGCATTTATGCGGTGACCAAGGTTTAAAAGGCAGTCATTACTTAGCTATGAAAATTACCTGGTTGCACAAAACTGAGAAAGACCAGTCAAGAGGTCCTTTGTTCAGAGCTGATTTCAAATTTACAGCTTTAATGAATCACCGGTTACATTTTGACCGTGCTCAGAGTGTTTCATTTATTTTCGTTGGAGTTTTTGGATGTCTCGATGACACCAGGAAACCCTAAACCATCCTCGTCTTCCTTTAGATTCAGCAGAAAACGAGGTGACTGTTTATGGTAAACACGGGCGCAGACAGGCTTCCATGGGGGTGGTCCATACTGCCATAGCAATAGGCAGGGAGTTTGTTTGAAACTCTAACACAAACCTTGCGGTTTGTTGGTGACTGACGTAAGCTGGGCTGGAGGCAGCCCGCTCCGGGCCTTCGACAGCAGCACCGTCTGGGTTCAGGCTGGGCAGGACGCTCTTACTGCCAGCAGATCCAGTTGACAGCCACTCAGCGTCCGTTCTCCACTCTTACCAGCCAGGACCCGAAAGGGCCCGCGGCCCAGGGCCAAGGTAGAGAGGAAGAGAACCACTTCCAGCAAAACAAACCTGCTCTCTACATATCCACTTTGTAAAAACAAATGCCTTCCTGGAGTTTCTCCTGGCCAGCTGCTGTTTGTTTTTAGTCAGGTTGACAGTAAGAAGTGAAGTCAACTGGGCATTCAGTGTTGGGGGAATGTGGGGTAATATGAGAATGGGGCATTCCAGGATAATTCAACAGCGCTCCAGGCTTTGTGTGTGGATGGCACAGATCATCTCAGAGTGGCTGAGACAGATGGATAAGGAAGTGAGCTCAGAAGGACACTTCTTCCCCACAACAGAATATGATGAATTTGGAAAAGATCAGATGAGGCAGCTAAGCTTCCGCTAAGACCTCTTGTGTGTGTGTGTGTGTGTGTGTGTTGTGTCTCGTTGACTCTAAAATGCAGGATTGGGACAATAACAGGATGTGTCCTTCCCAGAAAATGTCACAAATCATCGAGTTATCAAACGTGGCGGCAGTCATCGTAGATATGCCATTGTTTCTCTGAGTGTGGTTTTTGCCTTTGCATGCAAATGCCTCAACTACTCACAAAAAGCATTAACCGTGTATGGCAGCCGTTATATAATACACAGAACGCACAAATCCCTTTAAAAAAATAAAGTCACAACACATCTGAACCATAAAGGACTCTTTCTCTCAACTTTCCATACGTGCATGCTGGCTTTGAGAACTCCGAGTAACGCTAATGAGGTGTCGCCTCTGAAAACACGGCGATCAGCTGTGCAGAAGAATTACACTGACCAAGCTGGCAGCTGTTTGTGAAGAAGAGGCTCCTGTGATAGACGCTTTTCCAGATTTCAAGGCAACCCTTGGACATTAGCCTGCGTATAAAGCTGACTGTGTCAGATCACATTTAACCCTGATGCATTTAAGGACAAAGCATCGGCCTGACATTTGTGCTGATTCCTCTGGGCTCTTTACCCAGAATGCAGCTTGCCTGGGAATTGCTCGGACATGGAAGGGAACATCCCTGTGGGAAGGCAGCAGGCACACAAGAGTACACGGTGAGACGAGGAAAAAAAAATAAATAAAAATAACATGCGCGCATACTCAGAGATGACACATTTGGTCACATGCATACATAAAGACACGCTGAAAACATTGTGACACTGGGATAAAAGTGTGAAAGAGATGGAAAGATGGAAGCATCCCAGTCCAGACGCAGAGACACAACAGAAGCCTTCCAAGCTTTTAAATTCAGCTTAGATGTCTTTAATTTCCAAACATTTTTTTCTGCCACTGGAGCTAAACCCTGTGTCTTTTCTTTCTTAGCGAATGAGCTAAGAAAATGGGCCTCCATTATGGGCTACGGTGTTATCAAGACCAAACTCAACTGTCAGCCAAATCATATTCAATCTGCATGTGTTGCTTTTGATTTTACCCAGATCAATAGCTGTCCTTACTTGACTTAAACACACACACACTCAGAGGGAGGGGGAAGGGGGAGGGCATGCAGATCTGTGGCTCTGGTGTGTCAAAGTCAGCGAGTGCGTGGGAGGAAACGTTCAACATGAGCTGCCGTGGCAGCCTGCAGTGAAGGGAAAAGAAAGTGAGAAAAAAAAGAGAAAAAATAGTGGAGTCTATACCACACTGTTTGCTGTGTGCGCCCTATTTGAAGGTATACAGTAAGCTGAATCTATAAAGGTGAGATAATCCTCTACTATTAAAGGTCATTGCTCCAGACTTGGGTTTAACTCTGGCCTGTGATTCCTGCCTTTTTAATGTTTCACCAAAACACAGTTCAAATTCATGTGAAAAATCACTGGAAACGCAGCTCAGATAAGTAAATAATATCGCTTTTTGTGTACCTGACTTATCAAACAACACGTGACGCTGCCACCAGGATTTGAAGATAAGATTGTATTCGAGTCACTGTGCATCAGCACAAACCTTTCAACGAGCTTCTCTCTACAAGCTCTCTGCCTGGAATAATGCTGAGTCCGCTTTCAACACCTACACCGTGACAAGTAAACTCTCTCTCTCCTTTTTAATTTTTTCATCATTCTGAAACTATTATATTTCTTGTCATCGCAGATGAGATGAGATTAGTCACAGTCCCATTGTTGTTTTGTTGTGAATTCCAGTAAGGATCCGAGAGCGTCACTGTCTGCAAGCGCTGACCCAACTTCCTCTGTGTGCACTCAACAGAAGTGATAAGGCTTCCACTTCCCCCTCCACCCTGACTCGGGTAAACAGCTGCCCTGCAGCCCCAGACTGGGCCCTCCGTGTCGGCATCGGGCCTGACTGCACGTTGCTCTGTGTGGACTTGATGGAGCACGCAGATAAGGCGCACTGTTGTGGCTGGGGTTCCTTTAAAGCAGTATGCGATCGTTGGCAGATAGGTTCTAGCAAGTAACCCCCATGTTTGGATCCCTTTGTGTCTGCTTGTGTGTGCATGTATGGACTGAGTATCATGGAAAAGTACTCATATCCTCCATTCAAACAAAGCAATATAGCGGTCCAAAAATACGTCATTATGTGCACGTGCAAAAGTGAAAACACTCATTCAGTAGAAAATGATGACCAAACATGATTGATGGTGTTTTTATTTGTGTGTGGTTTTTATGTCTAAGATCCTTGTTTATTCTTGTAAATGAGCTCTAGCCTGCAGGATTTCCAAAGCGGTTATATATCAAGTACAGAAATGACTTTACACTGCTGTACCTACTCCAACCAGTCCTTTATGGACATCTTTATGAAACTGTTGTTATATTTGTTGCAATCTTTGCTGCCCTCTTGGCCTGATCTCTAAAAAAGAAAATTATAATGAGACTTTTTACCGGGGTAAATAAAGAATATATAAAAGTCATTTTTATATATAACACCGATTTCAGCTTGTACCTCGTGACAAACATGTTTCAATTTCAAAATGATTTGACGTCAGATATGATTGACAGGTTCTTTCTTTATCCCAAGTGCTACTACTGAAGGTGTTACGGGTATCAAGGAAAAAAAAAAACATGGGTTGAAGCTTACAGAAATTAATAAATTGTGAAACAGCTACAAATAATAAATAAATATAGATTTTTTTTTTTACAAATATATCTTAAAAGTATATAAAATGCCAAAAAGTGATGCTAAAAGATAGAGATAAATGACAGAAGCTTAAAACAGCTGATAAAATACTTAAGATATGAAGTTAAAATAATGGATAAACTCTTGAAATACATAAAACAACGACCCCAGTAAAACCTGCCTAATATTGCAGAGGTTCTGTGCTGCGTTGGCAGCAGATCTTTTGGTTCCTGTGGCTTTGATGGCTGCCTCAGCGGACCGGTTTTGTTCCAGTCCAACTTGCTGCGCTTGGCCAGATCGGAAAGTAGGGACTTTGGAGCTGAGTCAGCTTCACTTTTGCTTTGTGTTACTTTAGCTGTTCCCCAGAGGTCTGTGCAGCGCCTTTCTGATTGTAACTGCTGCCGCTGAGCAGTGCCATAGTATGAATAGGTGTATGGGAGTCTGCAACAATGTTTGGGTACGTGATGTGCAAAACTAAAAATCTACAAGCAAAACTAGGACCCATAGTTTCCCCATTAAAATGTTCCTTTCACTTCACTGGAAAGTAGTGGCTCTGATAGTTAAAAGCAATGGCTAAACTGCTACTCTGATCTTTACAGTTGCAAGAAAAAACTCTGGGAACTCTTTGGAATCGTAGAAACATAGTCAAGGTGTCTGGCACAGCTTCACCTGTTTCCAGGCTGCACAGAGAAGCTTAAAGCTCTTCAGCTTGTTGTCTTCAGCAGGGATGACACACACTCATTATGCATCATCACCGAAGTCCATTGACACAACAGGACTCAGGTTCAGCTCTGCCGGCCTTTCCCCCATCAACACCCTTCCAGGTTTCAGTTATCATTGCCCTCATGAGGAGCTGAGGTGCCCCAGCAGGACGACGAGGTCTCAGATCAAGGATTTTCCAGCACCCTTTTCTGGGACTCTGAGAAGGCCGGGTACTCTGAGCCATTGGCACATAAATGTTAATAACAGTGAGGGCCCGTTCTTGACCCAAGGAGCGAAGCTACCCTCTCACTCACTGGAGAAAAATCCTGTGTAGAGGCACCGACCAGCTCTGGCTCTTTCCTGAAATACTGCAAAGAATGAGTTTAACTACAGTTTTGAAGTTCTTGCACTTTAACTGTGCACCACCTTTGGCTCAAGGTGAATTCAGGGAAACACAAAAAGGAACTTAGACACAATCTATAAACAGTGCCTGTGTGGCCCACACCAGATCTGCTGACATGTAAATGAAGACCGAGTGTCTCGAAGTATGTCAGAGAACAGCTTGGCAGACAGCCTACGTGCAGCTCAGGGTGCAACCAAAGATGCCAATGCCTCGACTCCACTCTACCATGTCAGTCACTCTAATTAAAACCCCAACATAATAGTAAGGCCGTTTTCCTTTCTCTGGATCCTTTTACGTGTTTTATCAGTTTGGCTCAGAAATATTATATGAAAGAGCCCAGAGAATAGACCTTTGTCTGCCTTTTTAGTTTGCAAAGTGCCCGTCCCCATTGCTTTTAGGCAAGGGATGTAAAAAAAAAAAAAAAAAGTAAGATTACTTCACTTTGAAGTTTCACACAGGGGCCCCTAGCCAAGCATATGCTATCAATACTCTGACAGCCTGACCCAAAAACTTTTGATGGCCATGCAGCTGGTGAATACGAGAAGTATGCTTTAAAAACTGGTTAAATTTGAGATCTGGATGTGTAAAGCGCTTTGGGGTCCTTAGGGACTAGTAAAGCGCTATACAAATACAGGCCATTTACCATTTACCATCTGTAGAATTATTCTCATACATGAGCTCTCTGGTGTCTACACACCAATGTGAGATAAGAATTTGCATTTTCCTTCTTAATATGTGCACGTTTAAGTAAGTGACAGTTAAAACAAATATAAATAGAATAAAGAAAATGTTTTTAAAATTAAATTTAACTGATGCACTTGGTGACGGTGGGAAGAAAAAACAGGAAGAATAGGAAGACTCCTCTGGCATAACCGAGCTCAGGTGAAAGAGGGGGAGACAGATTAACAATGACTAATGATTAAATGCGTAAAACACATAAAATAAAGTTAAAGGTGTTGTTTCTCTTGGAATTAGGTTTTACTCATTTAATCAATATTCTTTTTTTTATGTTTTCCCTACTATTCTCGCTTAAATCTTTCATATAATCTATTTTAAAAAGGAAAAAACAAAAACAAAACAACAACAAAACCCCAAACAACAACAACAACAAGAACAACAAAGAAATTGGGAATTCAAAGAGTCGGGTAATTTTATTTTACAGTGCAACAGCGACATCTTGTGTCCTGACGAGGAATCACAAGCTACGCTTCAACGATGCAGTGAACATCTGTCGCCAGCGGGCGTCGCTGTTGAGTCATACTGCGTTGACTGCACAGACAGCAGAAGTCAACCAAAGAATTTCTTCTACAGCTGTCGCCATCTTGCTCCAGAACATAAACAACACCACCGAGTCCCGTTAGCGTTTGGGTGTACCGCTATTTTTTTTTGTTTTTGTTTTTACTTTTTTGATTTTGGAAGAAAACAACAAGTCTTCCGGCCTCAGCGCCGATGCTTTCAAACGGAGATGATGTTTGATGTGGTCACCTGAGCCGCCGTGTCAGTCGGTATGACAGTCGTCAGCTGATGTGCGTTGCTTGTAAATTGGTTGTTGTGTGCGCGAGCATGATACCATGACAACGGTGCGGCTGTCATTAGCGCACCCTGAAGCATTTTATTTTAGCTTCATATCTACCCGCGTTAAACTAGTTTTGAACGCCTTAAGCGGAATTGGCTTTTCAGTCGTGTATGTTTAAACCAGCTGAGCTTAGACGATGACGCCAGGCTAACCAGGCCGTTTGGTTTGTTAGCCGAATAAGCTACTTGCGTGTGTGAGTGTGTGCGCGTGTCTTTGGATAGCGCACATTGTGTTCTGGATGGGTTCTGCTGTGAAATAAGCTGAGCCGTTTCTTACACAGACATGGGGATACACTGCGGATTTCCTTACCGGGAGGGAGCGGAGGTTTAAAGGGGGGGCGGGGAGAGCAGCAGAGGGGGCTTGCTGCTCGTCATCCCCGAAGAAATGGACCAAGAGTACGAGAGACGGCTGCTGAGGCAAATCAACCACCAGAACCTGCCCGCAGAGGCCCGCCTGACCAAGGTGAGGCACAGAGAGCGACATTTAACACGTTTAAGCACGGCTGCAGAGTCTTCTCGTGTGAGTGTGCTGTTTTTTATTAGCACTGATCTTTAGGGGACTGCTTATCTCTTATGTTCATCCTAGTGTTTGAGCGCTACCTGCAGTCCTGTCAGTGTGAAGTCAGGGGACCGCTTCATCCCTACTCGAGCTGGAAGCAACTGGAGCATCAACTTCCACTATGCCAATGTGAGAGGTGTTCGTTTGGTTAAACTAACAGTGACAGCTCAGTAATCCAGGCCAGTGGTGACATACCTTTCACTTTCTTGACAGGAGAACTGTCGCTCTCCCAGTCAGAACCATAAAGCAAAGGACGCCACTTCAGACTCAAGCAAAGGTCAGAAGTCTTTATTATTATTTGTTATGTAAATGTGTTATAACAATCATTTAAAGTCCAGATCTGCACCTCGAACACGAGCATTTTCATCACCGCTCTCACTGCCGCCCCTCCAGATGCTGTGGCCTATGCTGCCCTGTTGAGGAATGAGTTGCTGGGGGCCGGGATCGAGACGGTGCCAGACCCTCACACGGAAGACCGGCGGCATGCAGTCCTCTCGCAGGACTCTCACAGTCTTTTTAGGGTAAATGACAACGGGGGTGTGGGTGGCCATTAAAGTGAATTTAATGGGCTGTCGTGGGCTGTCAGTGTGATATTTACATCCGGCTGTCATAAACATTTCACGCATGTATTATGCTGTTATTTTTAACTCACATGCAAGTTGGCCAAAAGAGACAACGTCCGTACCAAAACCTGGTGGCAGTTTGCAACTGTGGTTCTGCTTCCTCTCTGCAGTACACTGTCCACACTAAGAGAGTGCCTTTTGATAATGACAATGAAGTCTCACCATACTCCCTTTCTCCACTTAGTAACAAAAGGTATGAAATGTCTCACACACACACGCTGCTCACTCATCAGGTGTTTGAGCCGTGCTTTTTTGATGAGGAGGGGTTTAACGTCTCCATGTTTTGTTTCTTGTAGTCACAAGCTGCTCCGCTCTCCCCGCAAACCAGCCCGAAAGATTTCCAAGATCCCCTTCAAAGTGCTCGATGCTCCGGAGCTGCAGGATGACTTCTACCTCAACTTGGTGGACTGGTCAGCGGGCAACCTGCTGAGTGTCGGCCTGGGAGCCTGCGTCTACCTGTGGAGTGCCTGCACTAGCCAGGTAAGTGGGGGTGTGGGTTAGACTTTAAAGAGTTGCGCTGCAGATAAGGAGTACTGGACGTGCTTATTTTTGTGTTCAAACAGGTGACGAGGCTGTGTGACCTTTCAGTGGACGGAGACTCTGTTACGTCAGTGTGCTGGAACGAGAGGGTGAGCAAGCGACTGCTGCTTGTGTGTGGCACGAGAGAGGAGAGTACAGACAGGAGAACAATAATGTGTGGGTTGCTCGTGTTTTAGGGGAGCCTGGTCGCCGTCGGGACGCACAAAGGTTACGTTCAGGTGTGGGATGCAGCAGGAGGGAGGAAGCTGACCAGTTTGGAGGGCCACTCAGCCAGAGTAGGTCAGTCCGAGCAGGAGCGAAGTGAATTCAGTCAAATGTGATTTGTGCATCTCTCGCTGAGAAGCCGTTTATCCTGCTGCTGGTAGTGGTGGTTTCAGGAACAACCGTCGCTCTGAGCCTTTAAGCTCATGCTCAGCTCTCTTTATTTGCTGCATGAGAATAAGAGAACCTACCCTGTGTGCCCAAGGTGCCCTGGCGTGGAACGGGGAGCAGTTGTCTTCTGGCAGTCGAGACCGAGTGATCCTACAGCGGGACGTCAGAACGCCGCCTTCTGCTGAGAGAAGGCTGCAAGGTCACAGACAGGAAGTGTGCGGTCTCAAATGGTCCCCCGATCACCAGCACCTTGCATCTGGAGGCAACGACAACAAGGTGAGGCGACTAAAACTGCACATACTTCAGGAAAATTTTAGGTTAGAATCTAGGTAAAGATTCAAAGTAAGCAAATTCAAGCTGTATTGATATCTATATATTTTAAAGCAGCTGTTCGTACCTCTTTAGCCTCTTCTAGGAGTAGCCCTTGAATTTTTGTTCTGAACTGAGTGGTCTCTTTTATATTTCTGCCTCCTTATAAAACAAATCGATTGGGTTTACACTAGAAAATATCGAGCGTGGTCTCTGCCCATGGAGTTACCCATGGAAATGATTCTAATGGCTGTCACAGCATGTTTTTATTGGCATAAACTGAGGTGTCAAAACTTGTCATTAAGGGTCTTTATGGAAGGAAGAGTTAAACCTCAAAGCTCTCCTTACTGACCTCTTCCTGCCTTTTGAACAGTTACTGGTGTGGAACAGCTCCAGCCTTCTCCCTGTGCAGCAGTACAGTGACCACCTGGCAGCAGTGAAGGCCATCGCCTGGTCTCCGCACCAACACGGGCTGCTGGCGTCAGGCGGAGGCACGGCCGACCGCTGCCTGCGTTTCTGGAACACGCTGACGGGTCAGGCTCTGCAGAGCACAGACACCGGCTCCCAGGTCTGCAACCTGGCCTGGTCCAAACACGCCAACGAACTGGTGAGGAGACGCAGACACGCACTGCCCAACACTCTAAGACGTGACGTCAGCACAGCAGCGTCTGGCTATAGATAATGTCATCAACCTAGTTAGACCCAATTTGTGAACACAGTAGCTCAAATATTAAATTAGCAAATCAGATCCCGTTTGGACAGCTTAATATCGAGCCAGTTACTAATGCGCACATTGCACCCGTGTTGTGTAATGCAGCGTTCGGTTTAGCTGGAACTGCGACCCCCGCTGTGCTGAGTCATGGTCAGTTTTCATACTAGCTGTTGTTGGTTTTGTATTGAATTACATGATACTTGAAAGGCGTTTCTACTGTGCACACATGACAAAACCCTGAATTAAAACAGCTTAGTTACGCTTGACGCCCAGAGATGGTTGCAAATTGAAGTGAGCAGTATGTTGAAGGTGTTTCAAACTAATAAAGACTTTTGCAGTATGTTATTAAATTCCAATATTATCGTCTTACACTGGTGTTTTCTTGGAAAGAGCATAACCATCCAAATGTGGTCTGAAATTTCATTTCACTACCTGGGCCCACGTCCTCATTTATGTTTGACAGCGTTTTAGCAGGAAAAAGTGAAAGCTTTGACATGAATGGAGTTGCGGTTTGGGGAAGGAATCAAAGGGGACTGGCGACAGCTCCAGAGCCTGGTAGATCCCCATGTATTAAATAGAAGTGAAGAAGTTGAAGAATGGAGGACAAGGAGGGAGGGAGGGTGGGGCACGTAAACGAGAATGATCAGCTTGCAGAACTAGGGGAACCTCGTGTTTGGAGGCGTGGTCCTGCTCCTATTCTGATACATAATCTCCAATAAAAGTGGTGTTTAAAAAGTCTTTAAGTATAACTTCCTTTTTTGCTTTTGCTGTTCAAAGATCACTGTGACTGCATAAAAAAATCAAGAATTCATACACTGCTTATGTTTAAGTGCCGTTCCACTCAGGAACATCTGTACAGCATCAGATGCTAAACTGGTGACAATCTGTGGTGTTTGCTTATTACATTTTTTTACAAAATCATCAATTTATATATTTATTATACAATAAATCAGGATGGGACATGGTTGGAAGCTCCTCCTTGAGTGCTTGGCAGAAGCATCCAACTGCAAAGTGGTAACTGCAGTGCTGCTCTTTGTTTCCAGGTGAGCACACACGGCTACTCTCAGAACCAGATTCTGGTGTGGAAGTATCCATCGCTGACACAGGTGGCCAAGTTGACGGGACACTCCTACAGAGTCCTGTATCTGGTATGATCACACGTTCTAGACGAATCACCGTGCATATTCAGCACTGATGTAACTAGATAGTTGCACTTTGAAAACTTACACACTTCTAGCGTGTAGTAGTTTGCATACATTTTAATTCAGTGTGTAGCAACATGCCGAAGTAAAACTGTGCAAGAATCACTGTGTGTTACATTTAATGGACATTGAACTAGGGATGCATTTAAATCCTGCGGTCTGCTTCCATCAGTGAATTCCACACTTCACTGTTGCATTATTTTTCACAGTAATAAAGAGGTAATTTATGGTATTATATAAGTAAAGAAGCTGATTTTATAGTATGTCTTTGCACCAGTTAAAGCTCATGCCTGCGCTGTTGTTCTTACTGCATTCAGTGCATGTAAATCAAAACCATTTTGAGAATATTAAAGGATCTCAAAACTGTCTTTCCAACTGTCCTGTTAAATCTCTCACATGCCACATTTTTTCTGCCCTCTCAGGCTGTGTCACCAGACGGGGAGGCCATCGTCACAGGAGCGGGAGACGAGACACTACGATTCTGGAACGTCTTCAGTAAGACGCGCTGTACCAAGGTAGAGTAAATTATCCGAGAACTTTATATTCTCAATTTCTGAAAATGAGTAAAACTTGATGCATTTTAATGTGCAGTCACACTGTTTTGATGTATTTCTCTTCCCAGGAATCAAAGTCAGTACTTAACCTCTTCACGAGAATACGATAGTAAACGGCCCGGGGGTCGGGACGGTCCTCTGGAGGAGCCTGCCGGGGTGCGGCTGTAATACACAGAGTCAAACAACGACACTCAGACTAGCCTCGCTGCACAAACTCTCATCCTTTTCTACAAAAGGATGGAGGCAAAACTTCGACGGACAACTGCCACCCCTCACAGCAATGTCACCGATTCCAGAAAAAAATAACACACACACAGAAACAGCAGTCTTTTGTCACAATTTGTTGTCTGCTTATCAAGTTGATCTCGTTCTTTTTTTTGTTGTTCTTTGTTTTTTCCCGTTGTGAAAAGTGATCAAGTCGTTTTCTTATCTATCAGCAGAAGTACACCTGTGCAAGAGTTCTAAGCTAAGTAATGTAATGTAAGACGTTTTTTAAGAGGCGCTCCTTTGTAACAGAGAGAAGATAAAGCCTGACCTGGGTGGTTTTCTTTCGTTAGATAATGTGTGAATATGATCTACAGCAGTATGCAACAGAAGAGGGAACCACAAATAAGTGAACAAACACGACCGGTTGCTCAGGTGGCTGCAGCAGAGTTTCATGTGTTTATTGTTGTTTTGTCAGTGTTCATAGACACGAAGCACAGGTTTGGAACCTTGCGCATTCCTGCCTATAGATACGAAAATGCCACCCTGACTCTTATTTCATTTTATCCTGCTTTGGATATTTTATTAAAAAATATGTCGCACAGAGACTCGATTATCTTATAAGTGTCCACTCAGTGTGTCTGTGGGAGCGTCTTGTTTTCCAGTCGTGCTCTCTTAAGTCTCATTTAGCACCAAAGCGTTTCTGAAAACGAGGATGAGCTGTGGGCCTTTCTCAAAGACCCGGTGAGGAAGTCGGATGCAATGCTGGCAGCTCCGACTAGTAATCTGAGTATCCAGAGCCCTGCGGACCTCGGCAGAGCAAAGCGAACTCCTTCACAATCTCCTTAACGCGACGCTTGTTGGTTTGTTCCCTTAGAGAGGGAAAAAAAAAAAAACAGATTTGGCTGTTGGACAGATTTATATTTGAAATCATCTCCAAAGCTCATTGATCATAAAATGTCATTTTATAAATGGGCCAAATACCATAAAGTCACGTCTTACATCCTAATTTGGCATCAGTAATGTTTCGAATGCGTTCACATTACATGCCGATACTTTTGTGTCTTTATCGTGGAATCAAACAAGTTTGTAACACAGCAAAACTACAGACAACACATTTAAAAAGTTTTTGTTATTAACAATTATTTTTAATGCATACAAACACCAAGTCATGCTCAGGTCAAGCTCCAGAGTTAGAAAACTTGAACTCAGCAGTTTAGTAACGAATGTTATTTTATTTTCAGTCATGAAATGAATGCAGGGATTTTTTTTCTCTGAAGTTTAGTTTTGATTGAAAAATATTATTTAAAAAAAATACAGATCCAGAAGTAACTTAATATTTTACAGCTAGAGTCCACATAAGAGTGTCTGACATGTACAGCATCCTTAATGCTGATGTTTCAGTGTTACATGAGGCTAAATGTTAGACCAGCAGAAACGAGCTGAAACTGTTACCTGTGTTATCAGCAGACTGATCATGCAGCAGTTGGTTTTTTTTCCATAACTGCTTATGTTTAAAACTTTGCTGGTCACTTTTGTGTATTTAGTTTCTGAATAATTTTAACAATTTTCATCATAGCAAAAGCAAAGTCTGAAAAGAATAATATACATTTTCTGTTTTTCTGAGGATATAAGACTTAATACTAAAGAGGAAAAAAGCTGTTTTGTTCCATTTTGCCATCGATGAACATTACACTTAGGTCCATGATCTCTTGGACGATGCAGCTTTTGCCGTTTTGCCTCTGAACGCCAGCACAGTGGATTTTAAATCAAGCAATAGAGATGTGATTAAAGGGCAGACTTTCAGCTTTAGTTCGAGGGGTCTTATAAACGTTTTGCATTCACTTTTTATTAATTACAGCCATTTTTAGAGGTTCAAAGAGAGATTGGAAACTGACTGACAGCAGTATCCTGGTCAGGTGAGGCTTGTTTCATTGTTATTTCATGACAAATGAAGCAGACAGATTATCTGAAGTTGACTTTGTATTTTATATCTTCTGACTGTAATTTTAAATATGAAGCACAAGGAGAAGTCAGTGCAAGTTGGTGAGGACACCATTAGGCTGAAAAACTTAAATAAACCTATCAGAGAGAGAA